GAAAGGTTCCCCCGTGGCCCATAGTCTTGCAAGATCCGAATGCCTCTTGGTCTGACTTGGTCTTGCGAAACTGCGCAGTGACCTCATCCGCATCCTGAGCAACATGTTGTCCTCCACGGGTCAGGCGGACGTCCAGCCCCCACAACACCATCTGGTGGTCAAATCCCCAATCACAGAACTCCTTGAGCATGAAGAACCATGCCGCCAGCAATGCCGCCTGCACCATGGCCTTGTCCACCTTGTCCTCCCCCATTAGGTCACTGCTGCAAAGATGCTTGCCAATCCACACCAGCATGCCTGGTGTGACCCCTAACCTGCGAGGCTTTCGGTCTGCATGTCGATCCAGCGAGTCCACCAGCATCCAGACTCGGAACATTCCCCCCGTTGGGTCACCAGCACCACCTCTCTTGTGGCCATCCTTCACAGCAAAGAGGGCTTGTTTTATCGTGGCCGCTGTTGAGCCCAGCCACCCAAGATAGCCCAAGAAGGTCAAGAGCTTGTTCTCATTGTCCAGCTTGTCGGCGCGGATGTCGCGGAAGCGCGTAGTCCACCCCTGTCTGACTGCCCAATCTTCCCACTTGGCCCATGCAGACTGGTACATCGGTACATCTTCAATGATCTTCAATGTGCTCGAAGCCTTGCTGTTGGCGACGTTCTCATCAAGCCATTCCTCGACTTGTTGCGCTACTTCTCCATCAAACAGTGGACACCTGGGCTCCAAGCGAACGTACCCCTCTGCGGCCAATTTTGATGGGTCCTGAATCACACCCACCATCTTCTTGCGTCCTCCAGCACGCGTGGGTCACGAGGTGGCTCAAATCGCGTCCTGTGAGGATAGCTCTGTGTCCTGTGAGGATCGCTTCGTGGCAATGGACGACAGGTCGGAAGCCTCCACTCGTTTGGACTATGCGATTGGAGAATTTTAGAAGCCCAGCACTCCAGTGCCTTCAGAGGCCGAGGCGGCTGTCGAGACGGCCACGATCGTGCAGGCCAATGTGCCTACTGATGGTCCAGAGAAGCCACCTACGCCACCAGGTGAAGCTGAGGGCAGTGTGCCTGCAGCTGGAGCTGAGGGTAGCAGCTGGAACAGAGGGCGGTGGGCCCGGGGCTGAGACATGCTGGATCGCCACGTCCTTTGCCGGCAGCCAACCTTCGAGCCGCCAACAGCCCAATTCAGCAGGCGGGTGCCCCACGAGCAAGCCTCCTAATTGGCCTTGTGCAGGTCAAAGTCCTCGAAGTCCACCTTCTTGGTCATAGGTTTTGAAAGGTGTCCTGGCTCGCTGCACTCATCATTGCGACAGAGGTGGACTTTGTCTGTCCCCAGTAGTTCCTGGAGCAAGGACGGTGAACCCCGCAGCGTGTCGACCTCGATCCCCACATAGACACCGCTGGACCTGATGGGCGCGACCTCCGAGGAGACCTTGAAGACGGCCATCTGGTTGCTCCTTTTGATGATCACCCATTTCTCCTGAGAATTGTGGTATTTGAACTTTCTCAACTCAGAGGTCTCTGGGACCTGACCGGTACCCGGGCCGTAGTAGTCAGCCATGGTCTCTTCTGGAGTGCCACCAAGCCACTTCTGCGTAGTGCACGCAAACTCCCAGCAGACGAAGCGAGCGAGCCACACAATGGTCATCACCACTGCGCAAAGCAGAGAAGCCACTGGCCAACAAACGACCCATATGTAATGGGCAACGATGCAACAGCTCAGGATCACGCACCCTTGGAAGAGCCGCTTGCACCCATTGCGAACTCCTGCCCAGGCGCTGCCAAAGAAGGTCCGCCCAAGGAAGCTCACCAGCGTGTCCGCGAGGGTCCAAAGCCCCCAGTTTAGTCCCTGGGACTGGGCCTCAGCTGCCCACCATGAAGCCTTCTCGGTGCCCTGGACCGCGTAGTCGACCCACGGAAGAATCCGTGGAAAGCGGTCGTCCAACAACTCTCGCCACCAAGCTTTCGGCGGGTCTGGTGGTGAAGGGGTCGAGGCATTCCACCAACCCTGTCCGCCGGCTGCGAACAGGACCACCCCCACCAGCAGCCTAGCCGCCGCCATGGCCCGTGGCCCAACACTCCCAACAAGCCAGCTAGCTGGCTCTTGAACACCGAAGAACACATTTGTTTCTATTCTTTATTGAACGCCTCAGAAAACTGTAGTCCAGCATGTGGACGCATCCAGCAATGATCAGGAAACGATCGAACTTGTATGTTTCTCTATTGAGTTTACATGAGCTTACCATGGGACCCCGCATGAGAGCTACAACAAAAGATTATCGCCAAGCAGGGACTTGCAATTTATCAACACGCATCGACTTCCACACCTAGGAGTACGAATTAAGACGCGTGCCTCTTTCGCGAACCTTGTGGCATGTATTTGCTCTGCCTGCGAAACGGAGTTGACATCCTTTTTTGTGGGCCTTCTGACTTCAAGTAAATCTCTATTTGGATGCAACTTTGCCCAAGGCCTCAAAGTATTCATAAGTCACGAACTGCTGTGACACATTTGTCAACTGCTGTGATTTGCCAGTCCAAGCCTTCTGCAGAATCAAGGCCATTGTATTGCAGCAACCCTGCAAAGAGCGAACATCTTGGAGATGCACATTGCTATGCAATGCTATGCACCTCTTCTTACACGACATTCTATCAGATTCTAGCTTCCAGTATCTTCCACTCACCCAAGTATCCTCGGACGTCACTGCCCAGGCGTCATCAATGCGATACCTGGGATCTGGCATTCCGAGTGCGGCCCAGTGCGAAGCCGCGAAGCCAAATGCGAAACATGTTTTTCATTACAAAAGCGAACTTAAACTCTCAACGTTTGCACCTGATTCCTCTGCCAGATAGCTCGGCTTCTAAAGGATCCGAATCCTGCAAAAAAAACATGAAAGAGTCACAATGCTGGACATATGTTGAGTTTGATTTGAGATGTTTGAGAAAGTTTCTGTGGCGCCTGAGGGCTGGGTTTGGTTTGTTTTGGATATGTCTAGGTTCAGGAGCAAATGTCTACACTGCAGGTCTTCTCTGTGTCGCTTAAAATTCGCTGTTTGCAGAAGATGAGTTCAGGGTATCGGGTGAATCGTTCAAGTGCAAAAAAGGCCCCAACCAAATAGAATAGAACAGAAATAGAACCCATACAGCCACCACACATCGTCACCACAATAGCGCCAACGCACCAATTAGTCGCATTGTGCACCACTTGCCCGGCTGTCCTACATCAAAATCATTCAACATCTGCTAAGCATTGGTCTTCTTGACCCTCTAGGTGATGAGGTCACAGGCTAGACTTAAGAGCAGGTTCATCGTGCTTGAATCTCCTCAAGTGTCCTGGTGTCACGCCAATTCTTTACTCCTAAATCTTCTTCATTCATCGATCCAAACTGAGGCCGGTTCTAAAGCATTCAAAACCACTCTGAACCCTCTGTTTTTGAACCACTCCAAAAACTACAAAACCCCTCTGCATAACTCCAAACCGCTCTAGACTCTAGATTGATAAACCATAAAAGTGTCACACTACGTGGCTTTCAATTGGAAGGAAATAGGGTGACTCACTTACATAGGCTGATGTGGGATGAGCACTTCGAAACTCTGTGGCAGCCACCCTTCGGAATCAGCATCCTGCCCTAAAACTTGACAGTGCTAACCGAAGTCCCTGTGTAAAGTGAATTGTTTCCCTGCCGTTGCCCCCAAAGGAACATATCCTTTGAGGGTCGTGTAAGCATACTAGTGGGACCAAGCAGCCAAGGTCTACTACAGCACTACTGCATGTACAGGGCCTGAGTATCCGTGGCACTTTGCTTGGGCACGAAAATGAATGCTCTCAGTGCATTGAACTCTTTACACTTGATGATTATCACCAAGCAATACCTTCCCACACCACCCACATCACACGATGAGTAGCGCTGGGACTGCAAGCACTGAACCTTCTTACTTGGGAAACCAGGCCTCTTTGTGGCACTCCCAAGTCGAACCTTTATGACGTGACACTTGTGCCTCTGACGTTCCTGAGCGTTGGTTGCTCCTGAAAGCGGCCTGATTATTAGAGGCTCCAAAGTGTCGTGCCGGCCACAATGCATGAAGCTGAGATTTTCCCACTTTACTTTGCAGCATTGTAAATTCTGATGTCGACTCGACTGAATGAGTCCTTCCGGCAAGGTCCAGATTCTAGATCACCATGTCTACCATTAGATCGCCTCCCATATAGAGCATGTCACAACTCCACCACCAGGTAGAATCACCTGTTCGTAGATCATGTCAACATTTGAAAATGTGCATGGGAGGATGTGATGCCATTTTATGCTCCTGGATCAAGGCTCTCTAAACAGTTACGAGAGCCAATGTTCAGAATTTTGACTGCCTTCGCTAGTGCCCACATCCTTGACCCGTAAGGTTCGCAGACATTTGCTGTAGTACAAGCTTCTGTGGGCACAACACCGCAAATAATATGTAACAATTCAAAGCAAGGAACTATGATGGGGAAAAGACATAACTTGACTTTCCGCACCTCTGCCCCTCCAGTTTCCTCTGAAATCTAAACACCCTGGCTTAGATGCAAAATGATGCACAAAACAATAGAAATCAATACAATTCAAGAGCATTCAAAAGATCTCAAGAGCAAATGTGAACCATCTTAACAATGTGAACACCCAAACCACACATCGAGCGGGTTCCTCTCTGTGCTCCGACAGGACTCCACAAACCTGCAAGCTTGATCGAGCTGCCCAAATCAATCCAATCATGAACCATTGGATATTCCGACATTCCCACCCTGGCTTTGGGCAGCAAACATCCTTCGCTCTTTAGTCATGCTGTTGACTGCTGAGGCAAATCTGGGGGTCATTAACCATTGCTCATCTTGAGCAAATCGAGCATGATCAGACTCCAAACAAGGTTCAAAAGATTCAAAAGCTGTTCCTTCCAGGATCACGGCATGATATCATACGAGTGGTTTGCCTGGGCAATCAACTTTTCTCTCGTACCAGCACCAGTATGCTGACTCTCTGAGAGGTTCATGTTGGAGTCTCAGTTGGGAGTGGCTCAGGCTCTTCGACCCCTTTGCTCCCATCTTGCTCGGGGTATTGGCCAAGGGCATCCGCTGCAGAATCGACATGCTCCTCAAAGCACTCCGTCCCTGACGGAACTTATTATGTGAACTACAGATACATTGAGACAAATAGTTCTATATAGTGACTCTAGTGTTTAGCTTACTGAGCTGCAAAGAAGCCTTGAGGGTATGTTGCCCCGCCAGTCCTCATCATCCTCACGCAGAGCTTCACCCAACAGAGCTGCAAGTTCATTGTCTTCCATTTCGGGAGCATCTCCTTCAATGTGTTGGCCCACTCTGGTGTCTCAAAAACGCTTGAAGTTGTGCTGGTGAACGTCCGCACTTCTATTCTATACTTCAGCTTGGTATTAGATAAAATCTATTCTATCTGATAGATTCCACTGCTGTGTGCAAATTCATGAGGCGGGTTAGATAAAGCCAAGATATTGTCTCCGCCTGTAAGTCGAAAAACACAGAAACATGCAGCGGCTCTGCGGGTCATACATGTGTATACAAATCATGTACATTCCCAAGTTGCCTCAAACATGTTCCCACACCCAAACAATTGATGTCCTTCTTCGATGGCTTCCTTGGTGCTGTCTCCCTCGACTCCGTCCATACCTTCATCAGCCTGTCTGGAATGAACAGCTTCTCTCAGTTTTGTCGGAGTGACGAGTCAATATTCCTGTGGACAAGTCTTTGTTGCGAGAAGTTTCGGTCAGGCGTGATTTCACACTGCTTTTCCAAACAAACAATGCTTCGAGTCATTTGCTTGAGTACAGGAAGTAGGTCAGGCAAAATCCATCATCCATCCTCCCATAAACACAAAATGCTTTGTGAGCTTCAATAGTCTTGAAGCAAAGTGGACCAAGTAGGCTCTGGCATTTCATGTAAACAAGCTCTCTGCCAAGTCTACAACAAAGGCTCCATCGAATGATTACAACGCAAGCTTGAATCTCTTCCGATACCAATGACAGCTTCACTGCCAATGACAGCTTCACTGTGTTTACAAATCGCGGTATCTCCCAAATGGATAAGGACTAACTTAACTTCAAACAAAAACAACCTTAAAACAAAGAACATTTTCAAAACACGTATTCCATTTTACATGCTTGGAATCATCAACTCAAACCATGAGCGAATATACAGGTTGTTTTTGCAGAATACATTGAATGTCCGACCCTTCCCAAACATGCAAAGCAACTTATTATCTGCAATAGTGTGGTATATGCCCTTTGATGCTGTGATACAAATCATATGAAACAAGCAGGCCTTGGAGATGTTTACAATTTGATGCTCTAAAACTTGTGAACCTCTTCAACATCTTCAAAAGCGTCATAAATTCACACAGCAAAAGGCTTTGCTGTACTCGCCATGTCAGGAATCCAAAAGGACTGCCTCTGCTCGAAGTGTTCCAGCTTGCCTGTCGCAACTATGCAAGAATCGACAGGCCAAGCTGCTCGGATTTTGCAGCATCCTGCTAGCTGCATGAAAGCCCTTAGTCTTTCCTGTTTTCTCCAGGGATCACTTCCGAGAGGGCAACAGTGTTGTGTATCTACCTGCCTATCCGGAACTCCGAAGATTCTTTTGCAATATGGTATAGCTTCTGTGTATATGGATATCTAATATAGTTCTCATTCGGATGAAATACGCTGGTGTTTCGTGGTGTATCCACTCTTCCTCTCTGCTTTTATAAGCTTGCGGCCACCCGAAGGCAAACCTAAATAAGGTATGATGTTCAACTTGCATTGAGGCAAGAACCTTGCAAGGTCAGTGGCTCCGCCTCTTACCATTGTTTCTTGAAACGCAAAAGTACCCTTCGAATCCTAACCCCTCCAGCTCAAGAGCCCCATTGCATCACCAAACATGTGTCGTGCACAAATGCAGGTATTTGTCAAGCTATCCAACCCGAAGGATACACAGAAGTGTGTTCGTCAGTGAGGCTTATCAAGTTGCCACTTCACTACATCAAAAAACTGCAAAGGATGCTGGGTCTTGTAGGTTTGATAACGACCGGGTGAGAGGTGAGAGGACCGGTGCCAAAACTATGATGAGCAGGGCGCAAAGGGCGCGCTTAAGTGCGGCGCGGATTGCGGTGCAAATGTGGCACTGTTGCCCACGTGGGCTGCGTGCAGGGAGTTTCGTGGCAGCGCAGTGGCAGTGCAGTTACAATGGGGACTGCGACTCAGGGTGGCAAAACACGTTGAAACAGCTGCTTTGGCATTGGTTTCTTTGGAGTGGAGATTAAAGACTGCAACTCGAGGTTGCTAACTGGTAGGGCTGCATGGGGAACATTTCTACAGATTTCTACGACAATTACTTCTGGAGTGAAAATATACTGTAAACGAGCAGAAACACATACTGTGCATAAGCTGCATAAGTATAGTTGTCTAGAGAAGAATGAGCAAGTACAAATTTCATCATATGTCCAGAGAATAACTCTGTTTGGAGAAAAGTGCAGGCCTCAAAAGCGGGTTTTCTCTCATATGCAAAGTCTGCGCCAAATCGAGGGTACTCAAAGGAAACTTGGAAATACAATGAACATGTGGGCAACAGCAAGGTGAAATGAGCAAGTTGAAAGGTGAAATGCCTCCGGGAGCGCCTTCCTAATACACGTGAAATGTCACCGGCAAGCCGGGACATAACGCGTTAAAGGATATAGAGAGCTTCAGAGGAGCAAGCAGAGTGACCGTCAGCATACAACACAACAGTTAAACAATTGTTTTATGGTGTTGGAAACTATGCAACAAAGGAAGTTTAGTTTCAGCGTTCCTGAATCTAACACGCTGCAGGACAGTGTCATCCATTCAAACGATAGGAGGCACACTCGGTCATGTCCCGCGATGAAGACGCCTTTGATGATGAGCAATGTTACGAGTATGTTCTGAAGATACCTTGTCTAGCATGTGCATTTTGGAGTACAACCCTATGATGTCCTGGATTGTCAGGATCATACTGCTCCATGCGACCCAGCAGGTGTATAGAGAAAAAGTGAAAGAAGTACAGTAGAATTTTGAAAGAACTCACCGTGCACAGAATCACCAAACTACACGCTTGATGACATGACAAATCGCCACACACACCATCAAATCATATCACGCATCGCCATGGTTGGACAAATCCCTCAACGCTGTGTCCAGGACGCTACTAGGGGCTCCTGGCCTACTACTAGGAGCAAGGACGCTACTAGGAGCAAAGGGCATCACTACTAGGAGCAAGGACGCTACTACACTGCACTCTTCTTGCCCTCGTTTTCCCTCAACTTGGGACCACCTCAGGTATCCTCAGGCCCGAAATCCTGCACCACCTCCTCCTCAAAGCCGTAGCGATTTGAATGAGGCATGGCACTGTTGAGGTGGTGGATTTTGTCCAGCGTCACATCACACATCTCAGATTGCAACATTATACTTCGCCATCTTCACCCTAGCATTGTCCTCTTGGTGATTCCTCTCGAAACTTCCGCCCCCGCCACGTGTGGGATTGTGGGCATCTTATGCCCCCTCCCTCCCTCCCTCCCTTCCTCCCTACAAGCTGAGCTACAGCAGTTGCTCCGCATCCCCATCAGCGGTTAGGTCAATGGATCCACTGCCTGATGTTGAAATGTCATTTGAGCGTATGTGTCGTTGATCCTCATGGGCCAAGTGTGACACATTTTTGGCCATTGTCCAGGCACTCATCATAGGTGAAACATGGTGAAACCAGGTTTGGCCACAGCTGGGGGTTGAGACTCGAAACATCTCGAAAACGCAAACAAACTCATGCGCCTCCATATGGATCCAGGCATGCAGACATGCGAGAAGGCACTGATATCGATCCACCCTTTCGGCAAGAGAAGGAAAGGTGTAGGCAAGAAGGGTAAGGACGGACAAAAAAGGCGTTGAAGGTGCCCAAACAAGCATGGCATCATTAGACTTTGACTTTCTGGCCACCAACATCTTTGTTGTTCTCTTGCTTGACTTCTCTCTCGACACGTTCTGCTTGGAATGGTGCAAAGTAGGGGAGGAGGCGGAGGAGGATTGGTATCGATCTGGAATGCGAGTCAAGTGTCGCCGTTCACTCTTCGGCGCTTGGCACGGGATGACTCTGCCGCCGCAGCTGCTTTCCTAGCAGCTCTTGCTGCTCCTCGCGCACCTCATTCAACGCTGGTCTGAGAGTCTGCACTGCAACGAATGAGTTGTTCTATTCGTTGCAATGTCAAATTTGTTGCTCGACAGAACCCTCTACACAAACAACAAACGGCATGTTGCGATACGATATTCTGATTGATATCATATATGTTCCACAAAAAAGTGCTTTTTCCCGAACAACAGACTATATTGTATTTCAGTCGAGAGGCCAACTGCCTGCAACAGCTCCTTGGCAACACAAGGTACTATCAGTATCAAGCATGAGCTGACCAAATGGACGCAGTTCCCAATTCTCAACTATGTTTCCATGCCGCGGGTCCGAGGGGTAAATCACGGCACCCTATCCCACACACCCGTCTGACAATCTGTGAAGACATGCGTAGAAATCATTTGAAATCAAACGGGATTCATCCTTGTTCCTCTGTTATATATATATATGTTATATATAGTTATATGGGGTTCAATGGTTCAACCCCAACTGGCTTTGCTGAGATGTTTTGGGACCATGACCAAGAAGTTTGCTTTCAAAAAGGTTGTACTCTTCGCATGTTGGCCGAGCTGGTTCCACATGCTTAGCCACTAGTTACTAGCTTACTAGCATCACAGCCACGCTGGACAAGTGGTTCGTGGTCTTGATATGGTGCCCATGGTGCCCTCTTGCTTGACTGGTTCTGCATAACTGCATAACCGTGTTGCGCCACCTCTCAAAGACATATGCTAGGACTGCTCAAACTGCCCTTTCCAAAGCACATGATCTTCGTAACATTTCTTAACATCTACAACGAACGCCTTGACCTTCACCCCACCCTTGCACCAATGCAACCCCCTTGCATGTGCTAAAATCTGATGATGTTACATGCAGCCAAACAAAAACCGTCCTCTTCTTTGGACAAACAGTCGCATTGTTTTGTGCTTACGGCTTGTTGGTAAGCAAACTTGTCTTCTGCAGCATGGCAGGACTTACTTGTGCGCTGTGTAACCTTGGCCCATCCCTTGACAAACAGAATGCGATTGGCTTTGACCGCCAAGAATCCAGTCGTGAAGGCGACGCAAAGTACGCCGCCCCAAAGCGCTTCAGTTGAGCTGCCTGCTTCACTTTCCTTTCCGCATAGTCCTGCAGCGGGCAGGAGGCCTTGACAAGGCGGTGGTAATTGCATGGCCTGTGGCATGTACGATTTACTCTATAAACATGATGCTCTGCACAACGATGACACACTTGCTGTTGTGATCCCATACCATCACCCATACTGTGGTGATTGGTGTGATCAGCAGCTGGCTGCGGTGATGTTAGTTGGGTGATGTGTTTATTCTTTCAGGTCTCTGGCATGGGCGCTCGGTTTTGCACTTGATGATTGCGAGCAGTGAAGCTTTCTCTTGATTTATAGTGTTGTCTATGTTCTGGGGTAGCTTCTTGGGGTTGGCTTGATTCATGGACCATTCAAGCCTGATTTGAGGAGGGCAGAACAGGATGCAGTGGCAGCCCAAGCCCTGTGACTAATGGTGTTTGCATGCCAATCAGACTCGGAAACTCACCCTGCATTCATGAAGGGAAACGCAAATTAAGGGATACTGGATACTTGACTTATGGCACACACATTTCATAACACATTCAATAGATCCGCAAAAGGTGACAAATATGCAACCAACACGTACCATTAGAGACCACCACAACAAAAGGAACGACGAACTCAAAAACTACGGCAGGTTCCTAACCTTATACTTTGAAATAATTTGTCCAAAATTTGCTCCACAAACTCACTGCAAGCTTGCGGAGCATGGTTGGGTCCATTGCTCCAGCCTTCAGGGACTCCTTCTTCTCGCTCCTGCCGCAGTGCTTTTCTCTGTGCTGGTTTAGCGTAGTTGCCGGGGTTACGGGGTTAATCCGAGGCATCTGCGCGGTAAACACGGTAAAAGTCGAACATTTTATTTGTTTACCGTTTTCCCCAGGGGGGGGCACCCCTTTTTCGTCTACCATATCCGCGGTAAAAACGGTAAACATCGATTCTGTTTTTTAACCGTTTTTACCGGGGGGGGCGCCCCTGTTTTCTAGCATATCCGCGGCAAAGACGGAAAAAATCAATCATGTTATGTTTTTATCGTTTTTACCGGGGGGTCGCTCCTTTTTCTTCTACCATATCCGCGGTAAAAACGGTAAACATCAAAAAAAATCCTTTTTGTTTAACGTTTTTACCGGGGGGGGCGCTCCTTTTTATGTTACCATATCCGCAGTAAAAAACAGCAAAAATCAATTCTTTTTTACCGTTTTTATTGGGCGCTTCCTTTTGTACCGTTTTGATCGAGGGGGGCAAACGGGTCTATGTTTTTTTTTTCAGTTTTTAACGGAGGGTCACCGCTGTTTCTTCTGCCATATCTGCGGTAGGTAAAAATCTAAAGTTTTCGATCCAAGTGATGTAGGCGTTCATTGCCCTGCAAAAGTTAAAAGTCATGAAATTTCTGATCAATCACCAAACTCCTCTTGTCGAAAAGGGCACACGCTCCTATATGATAGGAGGAGTGAACCCCACCTGGTTATAGGAAGATACCCGGGCTGTAACATTAAACCTTTTTGTTGACAGAGGTCTTCTAACTTGCGACCTGGTCCGGAGGCATTCTCGCGGTAAAAAACGGTCCAAAGTGAAAATTACTACTTTTGTTGTTTACCCTTTTTAATGAAGAGTCGCTTGCTCTTTTTGCTTCTACCATATCGTTAAAAATCAAAGTTGTGTTATTCTCCGTTTTTGTAGGTGGACTTGTCCTTTTCTTTTCTACCATCTCCGTGGCAAAAACGGTAAACATCTTTGTGTTTATTTTTTTTTACTGGGGGGGCGCTCCACGTTTAAATTTCATATCCGCGGTAAACATGGTAAAGATCGTTTTTTTTAACCGTTTTTACCGGGGGGGGCGCCCCTTTTTCTCTACGATATCCGCGGTAAAAACGGTAAAAATCGACAATTCTATGTGTTTTCCCGTTTTTACTGGGGGGGGGGGGGGGCCTTTTTTTTTTTCCCATATCCGCGGTAAAAACGGTAAACATCGATTTCTTTTTTACCGTTTTTACCGGGGGGGCGCTCCTTTTTTGTCTACCATATCCGCGGTAAAAAACGGTAAAAATCGTTTTTTTTAAACCTCTTTTCCTGCGGGGTCGCGAAAGGATACCCCTTAGCAAAGCAACGCTCGCGAACCAGCTTAGGCTTTTCTTCAGTGGCATGCGTGTTCCAAAGATCGATCTAGGGGGAGACCGGTCTAGTCCGAAGGCAAGTGCAATCCCTCTCTCTCCATAGTCCATAGCCCAGCCATATTGATTTGGAATTCTGGCTGGGAGGGATGTGAATACAGGTCGTGGTAACACTGTCGACTCAAGTCCAGTAGTTCACTCACCATGTGTGGACCGAAGAGTAGTAGTCTATTGAGTGAGGAGGAACCGGGGGCAAAGTAGCGTGTGAACATGTTTCCTGTCACTGCCAGTTCAAAGGATGAGTTCACTCATCAAGTTTAACCCTCCACACCCCTTGCGCCCTTTTTCTTGCAATGGATGACACACAGGGCCAAACCAGCCTTGCAGGTAGGACCCTGCAAGGCAGGGTGGGTGGGTGCCTGCAAACGAGGCAGCTTTCACCTGCCTGTAAGCTGCCCATCCAGCACCAAGTCAAGGCTTCCTCAAAGCTGCCAGAACAAGGTCTGACTAGATAACAAAACAAGGGGGCAAGGTGGGAGGAGGGTTCGCGCGGTGCTGCACTTGGGCAGCAGACTGGCCAACACACCCCGAGCGTCCTTTGTCTGCCACCAAACCCCGAAAGCCAAGTGGCACCATTGCGAGCTGCAGAGGACAATTCCCCTCTACCCCGGCTGCAAACTGCGCTGGTTTTGCGGCAGAAAACCGGGCGGCGCTGCATTGTGGCTGAGCGCATCCGCCCACACATTTCTCACATCAGCCACATGACTGCAAGTGAGCGATACCCCCAGCTGACACGAATAGAGCCCGAGAGCTTGCAGCGCATACGATAAGGGCTGCTTCATGCTGAGCATCCCAAATGCGGCGTGGGAAACACTCCGGTTGTCCGTCAGCTGGGCGAACCGAAGCACAAAAGACTCGTGTTGCGGTAGCTCGTCACAACGAAGCAGCAACAACACTAATTGAGCCAATGAAAACGCTGCAATGCAGGATTGCAGCGAAGAGCTCCCTGGAGAGCTGAACCAGCGCGGCAGCTGAGCTGTCGTAAACTGAAAGCAAAACCGCCGCGCGTTAGCTGGGATCGATTCCAAACCGTCTGGAATCCACCACCCACCAATTCCAGCCTCATGCTCTGTGGCAAAAGCATCTGCAGCACAACTGGTCCATTCATGCTCACGAATGCGCAACTGACAGCCAAAGTGACAACGAAGGGCATTGTAGAACAACTGTGGTGCCCACGCTGATTCTTTGCAGGCGTTTGTCTTCCAGTTGGCGCAGCAGTGATCGAGCCACTCAAATTGTTGAAGGTCTTGGCTTGTCCTCCTCATGACGAACCTTAGAACACCACATTTCTTTAGGCCCAACAAGCTACTCACTTTTGAGCGCGTGCTTGGAGCAAAGTGGGGGGGACGCAGCAGCTGCAGAGTGACCGTCCACAAGCCAGCTCTGCGAAGGCATCTGCTGCTGCCACCATCCTGAGCCGTGCAGTCCCCACCAGCGGGATGGTTTCGCCGAAGGGCCGCAAGACCTCCTCCTCCGAGCTCGATAAGAAACGGCCCCGCTTCCCCAAACTTAATCCAGGCCTTGCCCAACACTTGTGGTGGGGATGTCACCAGCGCCCCACCCTTTGGACTCTTCCAGCCTGCTTGGGTGCCGCAAAACAAACAAGCCTCTTGCATGACCCCGGTGGCGGAAGTATGCCGGACTAGTTCACCGAGCTGCGCCGAATCCAATGCAGCGCTGGTTTGTTGCGCCCATAGAAAAAGATTTGTAGCCACGCACGCAATGACATTTGCTGAACACTAGCCCTCAATCTCAACTCGGCTTGATTAGCTTTCCTGAAATTTAAGAGCCGCGTACCTGAAAGCTTGCTCAAAATCATGCAAGACAAGTGGGTTCAAAGGTTTGTTTCACGCCAAGGATGGCAGGGAGGCCGAGCCAGCGTCTACCTACAGATTTTGACCCACAGTGATGGCACTAATGGTTGGCCCCAAAGGTTGTAATTCAACGCTGTTTATCCAGCTCAAGAGGCTCCAGGTGAACATCAAGTGTGCTCTCCTCGCCCTGCCGATGTCTGCTCCATGTTTCACCAAAAGGCGAAACATCCGGATTCTCCAGTGGCAAAGTGCATAGAACAAAGGATGCGCACCTTGGTTTAAGACCAAGCAAGCGAGGCAAAGGTGCCCTCTGCCTTGGACCCCAGTAGCATTCTAGCTCGAAGCAAGAGCTTTTGAAACACAAGAAACATATATGCCAAGACTTATATAAGGCCTATTGAACTCCGAAAAGACACATAAGCAAAGGAACCAAGGTTTTTTTTCTTACAAAGTACATGTTGGTCTCTTGCAAGGGTTCACATGAGACGAATCAACATCGCAAGCTCGGGGAATCTCTGCTACTGCATCATGCCATTTTCGACACATTATCACATAGAAAACCTGCACGAGCCACCCAAGCAATTTGGAATATTTGGATCTGCACCGATTGGTTTCGCTTCCAGAAGCTGTCGCACAGATTCCATGTTGCCCTGCTGGGCTGCTGTGCAAAGGACGGGCCAGCCGGCCTCAGTTATATAGGCACTCTTTTACTTAGAGACCTTAGAGGTTTCTTAGAAGCTTGTGTTTAAGAGGGATTCTAAGAGAACCCCTAAGCACTTTGCCTCTTGTCATTTTCCCACTGCTTGGGGATATTTTGAGGTTTGTTTAACATATTGTGCATTGGTCTGCTGCTAGGAGCCCTTGCGATCGCCGCCGCGCTGGCTTGCACTGCTTTTTTTCTAATTTGCAACATTATTATAAGTATATACATAGTAGCAGCAGCAGTAGTAGTAGTCACCTGAGTGACTTAAGTGGGCTAGGCGGTCAAGAGTAGTAGTCAGTAGTTGTCAAAGTAGTAGTCGTATACCAAGTAGTAGTCGTCGTCGTCGTCGCTGTGGCGGCGGGGGTGGTGGGGGTGGGGGTGGGGGTGGGGGTGGTGGTCGTCGTAGTAGTAGTTGTAGTAGTCGTCGTAGTAGTCGTAGTGGTAGTGGTAGTGGTAGTCGTAGTAGTAGTAGTAGCAGCAGGAGCAGGAGCAGGAGCAGGAGTAGTAGTAGCAGTAGCAGAAGTCGTAGAAAGAAAGGATGAACAACGCATGCTTTTGAGGCTTAGGGCATATTGGGATATATTGGGGCGGGGCATGGTTCATCTGATAGGATTTTGCTGCATAACGTTAACATACGTTAACTGTGTTTATCTTCGTGTTGTTATCGTGCTGATACCCTCAAACTACACCCGAATCTTGGGCCTCCCAAACGTGACATGCTTGACTCAAAGATCGCGACGGCACTTCTAGGCAATGCTGCAAGCTCGCAAGCATCTTACCCGCCCAAAGAAGCTGCGTCCCTGTTGGTGCTTCATCAACAGAATGCTAGACATGAAATGCTTTTAGCCTATAGTATACCTGTATGTGATGTCCATCGTTACTGGCTTGCTTCCTCTTGTCGGTGTCTGGTGCTTTTGCTCAACCCGGCTACTTTGGGAACTGCTCTTACTATATAGCACCGACAAGAGGAAGCAAGCCCGGAACGATGGACATCACATACAGGTATACTAGGGGGAGTGGAAACCAGGAGAAGCAACCTCTTCGGAGTCACTTTCTTCAGCTTCGTCTTCATCCGACTAGCGACTTCGAGCTGCATTAATTAAAGACTCCGATGAAGACACATGTGCCTGTATCTGTGATGGAATTTTCTGGACTGGATCATTGCATGAATTTAGTGTTCAGGCGATCAAGAATTGGCCTGGACGAAAGAATTTAAGAATCACGATATTGAGTACAAAATGTTGAGTGACCACATGCGCAAACCTAGTGCGTGAGTTGCTCAATGTCTTGTTTGAACACCATCAGGATACAAAAAGCACAATGTGAACATATCGCAAAGGTATATGCCTGAAGATTTGCCAAGCTGTTCTCTCCACTTTTGTTGCTTCCTCGGCACAAAACTGGCAAGCTACATGCTCTTGTGTTGTGTCTTTCTAGATCGGTTTTATGGCCTAAAGATAATCCAAGCTTTTGCCGATCAGGCCTCTTGCCTTTTGGCCTTCGCATACCTTGTCTGGGGTGAGGGCATTGTGAGCGAAGGATCACCTTGTGCAGAATGTATGTGCAAGGATGGATGAGGACACAACATCTCAGGGCTCTTCAATTTTGGAACAGCATCCAATTAAAGTAAATTTCTGACCTGGATCTTGAGAGGCTTGACAACCTGTCTTTGACTTCCAAAATATATAGGCTTCTAGTTCATATGTGAAACCTCGAATTCGCACACAGAGTGCTAAACTATGTCTCAGCCACTGAAGATTTCACAGCGATGTGTAGCAAGTACAACACCTTCCGCTATCAAAAGATTTGCTAAATGTTGTTTGAATATATAGGGCTTTGTTTGGGAACAAAATCTGATGTGACATCGTGCGTCTCTCATGTAAACCTTTGCCTTTAATATTCAGCCATTGACACCGTGCTATGAAATCTATGTGGGAGTTGACCAGTCCCGCCCCACTCTGATGAACACCACTTGCACCACAAATGCAAGGCTTGGATACCAAAGCTAATCGCTGCCGTCCTGTTCATGAAATAAATCAGTATAGAGTTCCAGTTCAACTCCGAGTCAATGGTGGCTAGCTAAGCATGGTAGTGGTAGAGTTCACTCCTGACCTGAAAGAAAGATACATGTGCAATTAAATTAAGATTGACTAAGGGTGTGTTGAAGCACATATCCTTGGCAATGCCATGGCTGCCATGACTTGGACACAAGTCTCGATTCCAACTTTGCAACCCCTCATTTTGGGCCAAGCTGCTGTGACGGTGTTCACACCCTTTGCGTCTGATGATGGATCTTCTGCCTTGAGCGACGAGAATCCCCCCCTGCTTCGTACTTGACATAGTATGACATAGTCTGTAGAACCTACCATGTCGGTTGCACTTGCACAAGGTAAGAAAATACGCAGTCGTAGATGCGCAGCAGGCCCCCCCCAATTTCTTAGTCTCGCGGCCGTCAAGTCCAAGAGGTTGTCCGCGCTTCTCGGTGTGGACATAGATGGAATGGTGATTGTAGGCCCTCTATGCTGGCGGAAGCCTGTCTCAGTCCTGATTTGAAGCAAGAAATGCAGGGCGCTCACTGCAACCGCAACCCCCAAAAAAGGCACACTCTACATTGGAAAGGATGCTAGGCTTTCAAGCAGTGGTCATTGGTTTTTCTTCTCACTCTGCAACCTACTTCGCTGCTCGTGAAACTCATGGCACTTGGGGTTGTGTGGCATACTGGGGCGACTTATTGGCGGCGAGAGGGGAGATGAACATGACAGCTTTCAATCATTTAAAATAAGCATCTTAATTTTGATTCGTCTCCTGGAGTATTTGTTGACTCCTTGTTCTTTCATCAGTTTTCCCATACTAAATTGATCCTCCAGATTTGTTTCAAGCCGTATTTCAAAAATAGTTGCTGTTTTATTTTCTGATTACTGCTACCTTTCCTTACTGGTGGCTTGCATTTACATATCTTTTAGTGTCTTCCTTACTGTAAACTGATTTGTCTACTCTTTTTCCCCACCTGTCAGGTGACGGTTGTTAGATTTTACGTCAGCCCCATCTCCTCCTCCTCCTCCTCCTCCGCCTCGTCCTCCGCCGGACCTCAACCGCGACCATCCACGCCCAGTGTTCCCTGCCGGACCTCAACCGCGAGCTCATATGGTAACAAGATGTAAAGGATAACAGCTTTGATCAGCTTTGTATGATAGAGAAGGTTCTGGGTGAGGTGGGGTGCATTTTCTGCGCTCGGAATCTTGTCGAAGATAAGAAGTGACAAAGAAGGACAATAGCATGCTATGATGGAAGAGGGTTTTGGAAGAGGTGGGATGCACGCTTAAAAAAGTGCACTGCCACAGTTTCTCGGACTCAGGACGGGAGGCCCTGGCCATGCTCATTCATTGGATAAAAAAATCACATCAGCATTTGCATGCGCATTGCCAAAGGCCTCTACAAACTTGGTCTCCCAACAAACCCCAAATGACGGCCTCTTCATGAGAAATGAGCGTGCAAACATCGAACAATCGAATTTCCAAGGACATCCAAAAGCATACCAAAGAATAACATCACACACACAAAACTGCACAAGCCAAAAGTCCTGTCACGATTGCTTGTGTGTATTTGTGTTTTATACACCTGTTGGATTTCCTCAAATCTTCCAATTTTGCAAGTTTGTCTGGAAAGCAACGTTGCGGATAAAGATTGGGATGATGTTTTTTTGATATTGCTTTTAAAGTTTCTTTGGGATTGGAGCGAGGCGGCTCTGCATTGCTGAGCCCTTCGTGTCGGCGACTTGTCCGAGAGGTGCCCGTTAAAGTTTCTTTGGGATTTCCTGATTTCCTTGGACATTATAATTTTCAAATTTTGCAAATTGTATGGATAAGCAACGTTGCTGACAAAGATTAGGGACAGTAAGCAAAATTGAAATTTCCACGGAAATGCAAACAAAAAACAAAGATTATACAAGCATAGACCCCAAACAGCTTCAAAGCGATTCGTTTTGACCAATATTAGTCAAACATTCATTTCTTGGTACGCCCTACCTTCACCCCAAGAGCAAACTGCTTCATCAATGAATTTTTTGTCGGCATTGACATCGCTATTTGTTCGGCCACACTCCTCTCCAGTAAGCCGGACCACAGAGACCAGCCACAGAGTTCAGGGGCGCGGCCGAGACAAGGACAAGAGGAGGACAAGACCCGGACACAGAGCCCAGCCACAGAGGACAAGAGGAGGACAAGGCCTGGACACAGAGCCCAGCCACGGAGCCCAGCCACAGAGTTCAGGGGCGCGGCCAGTGAGTGTGGCCAGCTCTTTTGTTTCTAAGATAGAACCCCAACAGTAAACTGTTTGGGGAAAAAGAACAATTGTGACAGGACTTTGCCCCTCTGCCCCCCTCCCCCATGGTCTGTGCTGATTTTACTTTTGGTTTCTTTGATTTTTTGGATTTCCTTGGAATTTTCCAAATTTGCAAATTGGTTGGAAAGCAAAGTTGCTGACAAAGATTGGGCGAAGGGACCGTGCGAAACAAACCTTGCACAAGTTGTGAGGGGACACTGGCAAAAAGTTGTTGATTGAAATATATACAAACACGCGCCGCTGAGAGCGCTCCTTTCTGTTATTAACTGCATCATGCCCTGTTTCTGAGTAGGGATGTCGGTATGCTTGCACGACAACACTGGCCCATCTCCTTTAATAGGAATCATACAGGATCAAACTCAACAAGTCCAAATAGATTCTGAAAGGATCTGAAGGCACGTTCTAGCGGATGAACCTACTACCATGCTTCCCAAAAGGCCAACACCAAAGAGCACGAAGAACCTGTTAACCACGAAAGATAAATATCGAAAGAAATAAAAGAACGTCAAACAAGAGCCTAAGAACCTAACACCAAGACTTGGGTCAAGGAGCGGAACCATAAACTGTGGAGTTGCGACAGGCGTAGAGCCCAGTTCAGGTGGCGTGACGCAACCCAGCAAAGCCTTCGGAATCTTCGGATACATTGTCGTGCAACAGGGCGACACAACCACACAAACAGATGATACCTATGGCATAGAAGGAAGCACAAAGAATCTTGCTCACCAGTAAGCATTCAGTTTCAGCTTACTGCACTTATCTTAGGCATGAAATATCGCACACTTGATCGACACCATATGCTAACGCTTCTTCTCTACTTCAGCACCAAATGTGGCACCCGCAAATCTCATTTTGTTGTAAAGGATTGAACGTTTTCTCGTGTTCCTCATTTTCCTCTGCAAATGCAAGAGTAAATCTATGCCGACTTTGAAGGATAAGGGGTTCAGTTCAATCGCCATGAGAATCCTTTTGCTTGAGACTTTCTGGATGATTTCTATAGCCTTTTTGTCAAAGACATGGAAACTGAAGTCTATGAATATATCATGTCTCTCTGGAATTTTTTCCGCGAGCAAACACTCTCTGGGCCTTCGGCGTTTGAGGTACAAAAATCCTTCCCTCTTCTGCTTCGACCTAAGGAAACCATCTGAATGTACAAAGCAACAGCAAGCATGTTTGTGCCAGTGAAACATCAACTGTGGTTTCAACCTAAGTGCTTCACACGTTGCAGTGTGCTCGCTTCAGACTTGAACCAAGTACTTTGTTTGGTCAATCCCATTTTAGAAAGAAACAGGCCTTGCTGCACTCATGAAACGCAACGGAGACATCTACTGCAGCAGCCACATATTTGACAAAACTTGACTATATAAAAACATGTCACATATAATCATATATATATACAAATACCAGGCTGATCAGGCCTCCCTTCAGTGCTGATATGTCGATCTGGACTTGCACACGAATTGAGCGTCAGTCAAAGTCCCTGAAAGCCAATCTGTTCATAGAACTCTGTCAAGGCTCAGAGTGCTGCCACAGGCTGCAGTGAACAAATCGCGACTCCCACTCCCCGCCGAGGAGCTGCTCTGCTTCGATTCCGTTTTCGTCGCCGTGTTCCGTCTCTCTGGCTCCCCTCTCGCTCTTCCGAAGCTCCTCTCATAGCATTTCCGTCCAAAGTCTCAAAGAATCCCACCTTAAAAAAGTCGGAAGTGAAGCGACACAGTAACAAGTGCCACGCTAGTAACAATGTTTGCTACTAGGGGCTCCTGGCCTTACTACTAGTAACAAGAAGCTTCTAGTAACAAGTGCCTTACTAGTAACAAGAAGTCTGAGGAAGTGAAGCGACACTAGAACAATTTGAACCTGATGGCTCTAGAATTAGAGTAGCCTGCTACTGTAGATTCTACTTGATGATATAACCCACAAGAAGTCAATGAGGGCCTATAGATCTCACAACTCAATTTCTTTGAAGACACGTTCGAGACGGTTCAAGCTAGCAAGTGGAATGGGAGTTATGTAGCGAACACACTAGCAACAAGGGTGCAGCCACATGCAGTTACAAAATTCTGGCCAGAGCCAAACAATGACTTAATAATAGATTATATCGCTCATTTCAACGAGCTGAACATGAGTGAGTGCCAGCAAAAGTTCATCAGAACTGCGAACAAGAAACTTGAGAGTCAAAGAAGTACTTCCTGGGGGCCAGCCAAAATATCGCGCGTTTCTCGTCATTTCAAGTTTAATCTACGGTTGCAAAAGTGAAAACTGACTGCCCAGTACCAGGACAAGCTTCATGTGCACCCGTTTTTTGGCTGAATTGATACCACTCTCTGACTTCTTCTTTGCGCAGCAAGTGCAGCCAGTCCTGCAGAAGTAGTACAAAACAATGCCACAAAGAAACTGCTCCAAAATGCCAAGGACTGTGGTGCCTTCCTCTGCAAAGTGGAATGAGTGGTTTTGGGGAGTCCTTTTTTTGTTCCTTTTCGGGAATTTTGTTTACGGCCGTGGTTTCCCTATAGTTCCTCCTGGAAGTTGAAAGCTACCTATAGGGCCATGTTCCATTTCGAGCCAGGCAAAAAAAGGAATCGGCCACAGGGTGAACAACCATGAGACAAGTGTTTCCTTCACCAACTTAAGGGACAACCCAAGTGCATCATAAGAACAAGACTCTTTCATTCTTTACTCCCTCCTCGAATAAAATGCACCAAGCAATGCAAAGAACGTACAAAGCCCACAGAAGCAACAAACAGCTCCACAAGAAAACAACAACCACTACAGCAAAAAAACAAACAAAAGCAGGACACGTATGAAAGCCAGAAAAGCAAGACAAACTCAAGGCTTGAAAAGCAAAAGCAACTAAAGAAGGAACCACTACGCCACAAGAAGACAAGAGGCCTGAAAGCAAATAAAAGCATTAAAAAATCCAAGGAAGAGCAAGACAGCACAAACAAACAGTAGGGAAAGTCAGAAACGCAAGAGAAATCACAAAGAAGCCATGAAACGCCAGGAAAAGCAAGGCAAGCACCAAAAAGGAGGAAAAGCAAGAAACGCATGAGAAATCACCGAGAAGCAATGCAACGCAATTAGAGTAAAGCAGCAATTGACATAGATTCAATAGCTCCCTTCAGAGTGGAAGTGACTCTCCTTGTAGTTGTCATTATCCAGGATGCAACAATTTCGATGATATGCACATTTGATAGTCATCTCATCATCGGCGCCCCTCAGAAGCTTGACATCACCACAGTTGAATCTTGAGGATGCAATTCCGATGCAATGCATCAATCAACAGTGTTTACATGTTCAGCCAAAGCTCTTTTGGTTCTCGCCACTTATGCGAGGAGTCTCTTGGACAGACTCGCACACATTTCGAATGTCCCGTGGCAGAGTGGCTTTCAACTTCACAAAAATCACCAAATGCCCCGAAAGCCCTTGCAATGTCAGGTGTTTGCCGCTCGCGCTCTCCTCAGGAACACCTTCAGTCCATTCGTCGCCATCGAAGCCTTTCCAATTCTGATAGATTACGCCAATGATCTTGAAGTGTCGTTTTGTTAACTCCTTCACCTTGGCAACAAAACGGCTTTGGCAAACACATTCACCTCTAGCAAGACTTGTCCAAGACCTGGAATTGAATTGCTTGCTGCTTTTATTGTCCACTCATTTTACAGACTCGTGTCACCTTCAATGCAAGACTCTTGAATTGCTGTCTGAGTCCAAAGGACACAGCGGCGGACACCTTCCCATTGAAACTTTCCTCCGGCCCTTTCTTTGTCAAAGAGATGACCAAAGTTTGTCCCAACCTCAGGTTGCTTGCACCTTTCAAATGGACACATATATACAGTACATACATAGCCATATACTGCGTACTGTAATATATATATATACACAATACATTTTTTAACATACTGTATATGTATGTGCAAATGCGGGAACAGCAACCCTTCTTTAATGAATTCTGAGGGCACGGCATTGTTGAAGTTCACGACGACCAGCTTCAAATTGTATGGTCTACCTTCATTGTCTGCATCTGGCAACCTTTCAGGGACAACCTCGGATATTGAGGCGCTGCAATGCGAGGCCCAAGTGTGACGATCGAGTGTTGACAATTAAAATGCTTGATTCGTGCAGAGTGCGTTTGCGTGGCCGCTACTCATGTAGCTAGTGGCTACACAAGGCTGTGCCAAAATGAACAAGCGGGATGCTCCTGGACCGCAGCTCCGGATGTCCGGTTTTGACCCTCCAAAATCATGGCTCTTGAACATACATTGATCCTCTGCCCACCACCCGTCTTGTGTTGCAGTTGTTCCACTTTGAAAGCTGTGTATGCCGTATGAAATCATTGTCCCTCGGTTCTATGCTCCTGTTCTTCCTATTGATATCGTCCTGCACATCTTGACTTAATAGCAAATACTATTGACTATTGATACTCATCCGCAGCAATCATACACCAAAGGGGAATTATCAGCATGGAGATTTGTTGCTGGTGCGACAGGGAGCCCAAACCCGCCTTTTCCACTTCAGTACAACTTCTGCTCATTGCTGTGCCTTCCCTGTGTGCACTGAACCTTGCTAATTCCTATGCAGCGTATATGTTGCACAGAAACAAAAGACCTAGGAACCAACTCATTTGTGTGAGCTTCAAGGAAGCTCCCCCTCGCCCTTGAAGAAGCGTGAGCTATCCGAATCCTGCGTCCATATGTAGGAGCTAACTTGTCGCCCTTACTTAATTAAGTAAGCGCCTACTTATATAATTAAGTTAGGAGGCAGGGGCAGAGGCGAAAAAATAACAGGGTCTGGCACGACAATGGAAGGAGAGGAGCTGAGTTCTCCACCCGCCCTAATCTCGTCCATGCCATGAAACCTTTGAACCCAATGCTGGCTCACTGCCTTTGGGGTGCAATCCAATACCTGAGCGTGATAAACACGGAAGATTTGCAAATCTGCCTTGCTTCAATCAAGTGTCAAATCAACTAACCAAGTGTAATTCAATACACATTGAGTTGCGCAATAGGTGGAATTTGTGTGAGGCGGCACGGTGGCCTACGCACGCCTACGCCACTATTTGTTGAAGCACCTACGCCGTCGACTGCGCAAGGCCTCTTACACGAAGCGGTCACGAGTCAGAAATGGAAGATGAGGAAAACTGGCAACTGTTCCCATTCTGTTTGCCAGCCCTTCAACATACACATGATGATGATATTGTTATCATTACTATAATGACGATGACGCTGTCATCGTAGCGGTGAAAGCAGTGAAGGCAAGATCAGCAAATTGCTGACGGCAAACTAACGTTTATCTAGTTTGGTCTCCCAGCATGGAAATTAATGAACACTTGCCTAAACTTACCACTGCTACTGCTACTGCTACCAGTACTGCCACCGCTGATCAAAGAAGAAATGTCGAGAAGGACTGTATGTCAAAACTTGCGCTTCACTTGGAGCAAACACACAGCAAGCTTAACACATTCCCAGGAAAATGAAGAAACAGCTCATATCGAGAAGCTGGAAATACACAACATAATAGTGAGTAGATGAAAAACAACAAATGGGGACACATAAAAAGTGAGGGTTGCAAAATGCAAGCAACAACTAGGCAAACAGTAGGTAACACATGTATATATATATATATGGGAGAAACACAGGTAGTAAATAGTTCAAAAGTGGTCAGCAAATATATATATAATATAAACATTGTTTGGAAATAGGTTTCGTGCAAGAAATTGGAGTCAATCCTCTACAGTAATGGCCTCTTTGCATGATGTTAGTCGTTTTTTGATTTCCCTTTTTTGCAATGATTGATGGTTTCCGGGTGTCTTACTTTCTGAATTATACTGTTTGTATGGGAAGTCTTTTTGGGACCTATGTCTTCTCTACTTTAATTAGTTAGCGTTTTTTCCAACTCTGCTTACATAAGAGTAGGTTTGCCAATCGGGCTGAGTTGACTTGCATCGGGATTGTTCGTTATTTGCAGGATTCTCGCTTGTGCGGTGTCTTACACAACAGGCTCAATACATTGGAATCCATTGGACTTCCGGAGGCCTTCCAAGCGCCCATGCCCTGGCTGCTCGCTGCTCTAGCCCAGACTTTCATCGTATCTGCCAAACCTACAATCCAGGGCACCAGTTTTTGACCGCTCTGGTTGCTTAGCATGCCAGCTGCGCGCTCCTAGCAAGCAAAGCGGCTTTCACCTTTAAAACACAACGATCGCCCCACTCAAACCCGTTATATAGAAAGGCAGTCTGCACTCTTGTCTCAGACCGTGAGTTCTCTTATGTCTTGTGAACGGTAGAATGGCATTCAAACATGGGATATCAGTCTACACCTTTGCCCCGAGGCGATTTTTTGTGGATGGAGCAAGTGGATGAAGTCTTTCCAACTCATTTATCATGAAATAAAAATAATGGAACACATTAGCATACAAATTGATACACGGTGAGGGTACGCAAACATTGTTGCCCGTCGGTGCACACTCTTGAATGAACGTACTCAGCTTGATACAGTCTTCTCTTTTGGAGTGTGGTGGGTGTAAGTTTCGGTGTGGTCTTTCCTGTCTATTGCACCTTGCATCCTGCAGAAGGTCCATGTCTATTAAGTATCATTGTTCCCTTTCTGGAACACAACATCTTCATATGTTTGGCCAACTCACATACATGAGTCACGACTCTTACCTTCCAAAACCTCCGTGACCACCAACAGTCGCAGAACGCCCTTGCCACCAAGCCTTCTTGCACCTGCATGAAAGAGCCTTTCTTTTAGTGTGACTTCTCTAGTTGTTCAGAACGAAGGACTCCACACACAAAGTCAAAGCGGTTGTGTTCAGTTCAAACTCAAAAGGTGCCAATGTCCTCTCCTCCCCGCCGTGGGCTGCTGGGTTTTCGCCTATCAGGAGAGCGAGGAGCTCCACTGGCACCTGATCTGGGTCAACAGTTCCTGATACCTTTCATGATGTTCTCCAAATACTGTGGAACCATTTGACGCACCCATGAGATGTCGACATATTGCACATAGTTACTGATGTTACTATTGTTATTGTTTGTTATTATGTGTTTAATGTTATAAAGTTTCCTTAAACATCAATCAAGTCCAAAAGCCAACAGCAAAGTCGCACGCAGCTTTTTGCAGGTTGGTTTGATTCCTCTTGGGTCTGTGTTGAAATGTGAGAAAGATATAGGACTGGGATAGTGCCCAGAAACGCCACCCAGGCCAATCCTATTTTCGAAAAAGGTGAATGCAAGGAGGAATCGGACACCGGGCACGCTGAGAGCGGGTAATAGGTGTCGCAAAGGAAAAAATCTTTTCAGGGGTAGGTCAAGAAGTGCCAAAACAAACAGCAAGCACGCCAGCCCCAGGAGCCACCGCGCATTTCTCAAACGTGCTCGCTGAGGGCAGGGCCACGGGCGCCTGTCCCAACCCGAAAGGGGTTCCAAAAGCAACCCATGCACACAACTCGTGTGATTTCAGGGCACAGGGCGCCTGTCACACTTGATATGCCTAAAGGGGCTGTGGTTGAAAGTAGAGTCGTTGGAACACCCGCTGCGTTAACTGGTAGGTCATCATCGGTCTGGACACTCTGAGCCTCTTCGACGGGTCAAAACCAGCCAGATCCGGGTGAGTGAGCTCATCAGCCCAAGTGTTGAGCTCTCGTTTGACGTGTGAAGGAGCCAGCTGACATTCCCCTTGGTGGAGGGAAAGGACAAGCTGCATCAGAAGGGCCGCAGTTGGCATCTTCCTCGTAGTTTGATTCAGCATGGCAAAGATGTTACCTTGGTTGTCCGGGATGAGGGGAATACGGAGCTGCAGGCGGTTCTTCTCGCCCCTTAGCCATCAGGAAGGACGCCAAAAGCAGGGAACCCAACGTCTCCAATGCAGGAGGTTGGCCCCAAGGCTGGCTTTGAGGAACGCCCATGGGCGACGGCCGGCACCGCTGGCACCATGCCACGGCGAAGGAGGACAGTACGGGGTAGGCTGGGTCCACCCAAGAGGGCGGAGATGAGCGTCGCAAAGGTTCGGACTCGGTTGGGCCAGGGGCTTGGCCAGCGTGTGCGGTGAGGTAGCCCATTGGAGTCCTATGGCACTCTCAAGATCCTTGACCGTGAAAACAGCCTCCTTGGGTCATCTGGGACAAGATCGTCGTGACCCTGGTGTGCTTTTCTTTCGCCATC